GGGGGCAAGGGACGACGCCGCACTGCACGGTTGGGACCGCCAACACGAGCCAAGTATTTTTACCCTTGCGTATTCGTACATGTGCGACGTACGAAAGTACGGAGTAGGCTCAGCCGCCGAAGCTGTGCTTCGCTTCGGACGAGGGGGAGGCAAGGCCAAAAACTCCGTGGCCCGAAGAATTCGTCTTGGGTCCTTGGCATATTGTTGTACATATCTCAGAGTTGGGGTGGGAGAGAGAGGTTGTGGTGGTTTCACCTGCAATAACCTCCTCGACTTGGTGCTGGTGGTCAACACAGAAAGTCTGTGTCTGATTTGGCGCCCTGGTGGACGTCGCATTATTTCCAGGACGTGGTGCGAAGGGGACGCAGCGAAGAAAAAAAATGTCGGCCAAATCAGACAAAGTAGAGCCTGCCGGTCATGCTACACAACATCGACCTAGGGATGATGAGGGGATTCCCACGCCCCCAAGCGCCAGAGTGCTATCGTGCAGACGCCGCACGCATGATGGACTGGCTGAATTTGGTCGGTCTCGGCCCCGTTGACCAACCCGATTCGGGACGATGATGGTGGTGGTGTTGAATCCTACTCCTCCTATCGCTTCCACTCGGCAGGCAAGTCGACAGGTCGCCATTGGCACACCTTCTGGCACACCTTCTGGCACGGCTTCTCTCGTTGCTCGGTGAGCTGAAGGTGAGAAAGAGGCTTTCAAGTCAGCCGGCCGGAAACTATTGCCTCGTCTAATCTGTCCACACTGGTGGTAGTCATCACAGGGACCCCGGACATTCACTGTCACAGCCGCCACTGGTCATCTCTCTGTCAGCACTCAGCTCACATCTCGACTTTCTCATCGCACCATTATTGTCCATAAAGGGGAAGTGGCCCCCCTAGTCTATGAGAATGATGCGTGCCGCGACCTCTGGGAGAGACGCAACCGGTTTATGACCCTTCGCGCCCACCGGCATCCCCGGTTATCCGATGAAAATTTTCTAAAGCGGGATTTCTGGCCAAGAACGATGAATCTAGGTGCTCGTGTGATAGGGGGCTTCGCGTTCTTCTTACTTGATTCTTGATTATTTTCTTGATTACTAGACCTAGACTTGGTGGTCATGTGGAGGATTGTGGCTCGGCCAAGCCAGATATCATCAGCCATGTCCGTGAGCCGTGAGACATGATCAGTGCTTCCCGTCCTGTGGCGTGCACCGTATATCAAAAGAAGACTAGGAAGACGAGGCGATATCCTTGGCTGAAAAACCAGTGCGTCATGGTCCAGCCGGCTTTCCCAGACTCTTTCTATTTTTCTTTTTCCCGACGGGTGGATGCCCAGATCCAGTCGTCGATGTTATGCGCTGCCACCCACTGTCTCAATATCTATTCCATCGAACGGGATGCAACCGTGTTCAAACAGCACGAGACGTGCGCCGTGATCTCATACCTATTGCATGCAGCCTTATGGCTGGGGTTGGCTTTCCCGTGGAATATCACAACACTCCTCGGCTCTCATACTTTGTGCATATATGGCTTGGGAAGTCGACCTCTTACCTTCCTTCCCCTGACGCAAGACGAACAGGAGGCACGCAGTTGATAAGAGCCAATATGTGGAACTTGACTTCACTCACCAGTCAGTGTCAGCACGGAGGCGGTTCCAGATGTCATGCTTTGAAATTACCCCCACTGAGATGATGAAATATATCCCAGCCGTGCGCCCGGTAATGCGTAGTAGATATGAGTCTATCAATGCCTTTCTTCAACGTGAGGGTCCCGTCGTAAATGGTGTGGAAAATATGAGTACGGCTTGCTGCTTGAAGATATCACTGAGGAGGTACACTAGGGTACGAGGAAGAAACACGCGAAGATGGCAACATATCCTTCTTCCTGTCCTTGGTCTTCAAATAAGCGGACGAAGAATCTATAAAGAGTATATTATACGGGAGGACGTGTCGCTGGGGGATATATCTGTGCCAAATGCTCCAGCATCTTGTTCATATCTTCGCAGGAGGGGACTAGACATCGACGGCAGAAGTATTGAAGCTCACCATGTTTCTCCAGTCCCGGAAGACGATTGAATCCCGACTGGCTACCGCGTCCATCGTTCAGAAGCCGTCGAGAACTCCAAGCTCAAGCGGCACATGTGTGGTGGGTTGTCTCCTACACAGGCATTCTCGATTACGGGATAGATACTCGACGGCGACGACCTCTCCATTACAAATAATCCTCTATTTGCGCGAAAGGAAGCGGCTCTTATTTTATGGGATCCTTGATCACTGCTCACTACCTATAGCCAAGGGGGAATAATACTCCGCGCTACAGACGATACAGGAATCACGGGCTGTATAAGCCACGCTGAGGTTGCAGTTCATGGCTACCCCCTACCTAGAAAGCAGGAAAGTCGCCATTCAAACGGGTCTACAGTTCGTCGTCCTCAATCTCGGACGGCTTCAGCAATCCGCCGACCTTCCCACGACGTTCGAAGTCGGCTGCCTTGGCCTCCCTTTCCTGTTGCTCCTTCTCGACAAGGAACAGCTCGGCGTTGTCGCCGGCGAACTCCTTGAGCGAAATGAGGAAGTCTCGCAGATTCAAGCGGAACTTGTCGTACTGCGTGTTTAGCGCGAATAAGCCCTCGACAAAGACCTGGATTTGAGCCCTGTTCAAGTAGCGTGGGTCAGCAACTCTGGCTTCAATATACCTTCATGATGCGGCTCCGTTTTTCTCTTACAGTTGAAGGTTGGGGAAAGCGTTGTGAAGCAGCGTCGCCGCGAAGTTGGCCAGGAACTCCTTGTTGGGCGTGCCGGCTGGTGCCTGATCTGGCGGATAGATGGGACCCTGGATCTTCGGAGGGCTGCCGTCCGATGGATTCACAAAGTAGAACATGCGCATCAAAATCATCGACTGCGTCTTGAAACCGGCTTTGTGATCGGTATCGGTCAAAACGAAAAGTACGTCCTGTAATATAGTAATGAAGAACTGCTGGAAGAATGCGTTCGACGTCTGGGCATCTGTATCCGCGATGTTGTTAATGAGCTCTAGACACATGCTAAGCCCAGCAGCCTCGACGTCACGGTTGTCGTGCTTGAACGCCCAGGTGCAAGAGTCAATGACGAACTTGAACTGGCGGTTGTCCAGTTTCAAGAGGGCTGTCACAAGTCCAAGTCAGCCGATGGCTCGGCCAGTCTACTCAAGATAATAGGACCTGTCTCGAACTTACCGGGGAAGCAGTGCAGGTTGATAGCACGCAGCAGATTGAAGAACTCCACCCGGTGTTCCGGGTATTCGGAGAAGTCCTTGTTAATCATGTCCAACGTGCACTCAAACACGTTCTCCATGATTCCGGGGACTTGGTCTTCCATCAAGCTCTACATCCGGGGGGTCAGTATCATGCACTTCGAGGAACCAAAGAGCCAAGAGTTGGGCCTTGCGGTGTCACCGCCATGGAAGCCATGAACGAGAAAAAAAAAAAAAAAAAAAAAGAGGGAGACGGAGGATAACTCACGGAGAGCTTGGTGATGATGACCGACATGGCCTTCAAAACTTCAGCGTCACGAGCGCCCGCAACATTCCGATTGTAGTCCGTGAGCACGGCCTCTAGCAGAGGAGGAACCATCTGCTGTTGCACAGCTGCCAAGTCCTCGGCCCTCTCGACGTACGTCTCGACCAGCTTGAGGATCTCCTTCTTGATCGTGCGAAGGCCGCGAACATTGGGCATCTTTGTCGCAATCTCACCTGTGACAACGTCTTAGCACTGAAACTCGGGACACACGATGGCATTCCCGGGCCAGGAAAACCCCTTCAACGTACCTTGATTCTGCACAGCTTCGGAGATGAGCTGGCTAGTGGCTTGATACATTTGCAGCATGTCGTGGAAGATGCGACCGATCTGAGGGTAGAAGTAAGGGCCGACGGAGGAGCAAGCCGAGACGTTCGTCTTCATGATGTTGCCAATAATCTTGATGGTCTCCGAGTCCTGAAGGAAGGTGGGGTCCGCCCTGGCGGCCTTGATCACTTCATCCCAGGCGGTATTCGGAATATTCATGAGATCTGTCAGCAACCTTTCTTGTTGGTGCTTATTTCCCTGCGCAGAGACCATATAACCGCATGCTTCATAGAAAGTATGGATTTGCTGTGGGGTCAGATCGCAAGTGATCTTGTGAAGGTTTCGAATGATCTCTTCGATGAACGGCTCAGTCTCACTGGGCTGCAGCGCGACAAAGTGACGCCGGCACGACTTGGCGATCTTGATAAATGTGTCGCAGGCCATGTCCTGGACACCTATTCGCCGTGTCGCAAGTCAGTCAGCTGGAAAGATTTCGCGAGCTCCACGCCTCCCCCTTGCTACATACCTTCGTGCGACTCGTGCATGAACTCGAACAGTTTGTTGACGACCGTCTTCAGAAACTTCCAGTGAGCTTTGAGGAATCGAGGGTATTGGCCGACAATGTACATAATATTGCTGGCGACAACAGCTTTGTTGTCTTTGCCCCGCTTCATTTCGGTCAAGCCGAGCAGGTCTTTAATCACCGTCACCAAAAAGCGCTTCTCGGTCTCCTCGTTCATGGCCAACGATATGGACCCGATGGCCCAGCAGAGGACGTTGCAGTTGTGCCACGACCACTCGGAGCCATCCACCTGGCGGGCCAGCTTTTCGGTCATGATGTTCTCGGTATCATTGACATCCAGATGCGTTAGGTAGACCAAGCACTCCCGGATCGTCTTGTACAGCTGGACCGTGTCGCTTTCCTTGACAAACTCGCGGACGATCTCGCCCTCGTCGTTTTCGACAACGAGCACTTCTTCCGGCCGAACCATCTTCTCGATCATGACTGTTCGAAGGTTCGATAGAACTTCGGCGTACTTGTGTTTCCGGAGCGGGTAGTTCGCCAGCAGCGCCGGGTTCGGTGCGCCTCCGCTGGCCATGCCCATACCGAGGAGCGGATTCAACTCGGCCATCGGGAGCTGCTGCATCTCGTCGTATAGTTCGTTGACCAGCTTAAGCCAGTAGTCGAGGCAAATCTTGAAGATTTCGCGGTCGTCAATCTGGGATATCCGGATCAGATAGAAGTGGCCATGAGTGAGGTAATCTCGATTGGGAAGGTTCTCGATGAGCTTCCCGGGCTCGTTAGCAAATTTGCGATGAAAAAAAAAAAAAAAAAAGGGGGGGGGGGGGGAGGAGACAATACAGGCAGGTAGGAAAGGTACTCACGTTCAGGTGCACGCCAAAGAAATTGGTGAGAAACAGGGCCAGGTTCTGCACAAACTCCTGGTCCCTGGAATTACTATTCGGGTATGTCGACTTGAGGTCGATGGTGATGGGAATGATGTTGGAGATGGTAGTGAGAACCTCGGTGAACATCTTGACCAGGGCCTCGTCATACGTATTCGGCTGTCCAGGGCCGCCAGTCTGGAGACCTCCGATCTCGGTCAAACACTTCAGTGTGATGTTACGGAACTCGGGTTCAGGCAGGAAGCGCGTCCGCAGGGTCTCGATCAGAGGGGTCTCGAAGATGTAGCCTAATGGGATCCAGTTGCAGAAGCGCAAGAGAGTCTCTAGGGTAGCCTTGATCAGACTGATCTGGGTGGCCGAGTTGAGGACCTCTTGACACAAGGTGAAGATCTGCGAGAACTCGGCACACATTGTCGTCTTCAGATTGCGGACCTTGGTCGACGTCATTTGGTCTGAAGAATAGTCGAACACTTCCTCCGAGAGCAGTCTCAGAATGACCATGTTATTCTCGCAAACGGACAGGCTCGAGTGGCAGGACGAGATGATTTCGTTGATGAAGGTAGGCCAGTTATGGGGCCAGTCCTGCTTAAGGATAGAGATGAGAACGAGGTTGAGCTTGTTGAGGAGAGTCTTTTGCTCCTTCATTATATCTTCGGCACTCGAAATCTGGAGGATGAACTGGACGATGAAGTTGCGAATACCTGGGAAGGTTAGCTCGAGTTAGTTCTTTTCTCCCCAGTCCCGTCACGCTCTGGGCAGAAAGAAGACCAGCAGGACCTCACCTTGGCATTGCTCGCGAGGCAAAATCTTCCATCTTGTCATGATAACACTGTCCAGAACTTGCAGACCCAAGTCTGAGGCGATAGTTAGTAGTCAAGTCGGGCGACTGGGCGGCGGGGAGGATGGGACGATGGGACGAACATTTCGTCTGAGGATAGGTCGCTTCTGATAAGATTTTATCGACAAGAAGCCATGAGTCTTGGTCCTCTTTGAACTATCGCCAGAACTGTGAGCCTACCGCGGCGAGCGCGTGGTCAGCGGGTAGGGACACTCGACATACCTGATTGAGGGCAGCTTGGGCTTGCTTTTGCTGTATCGTCGTAAAACACTGTAAGCATTTCATGGCACCAAACACACACCACGGGACCTGGAAAGAAACACGAAAGGGGAGCTTCGTACCTGCTCGCCCCGCCCCTCGTAGAAGGAGCGAACCAAATTGTCCAGCTCCGGTATAGTGATAGCCATGGAGATGATTGCGGTCGGGGTTCAGCAGCCAGGCCGGTTACCGAGTCGCGATCGGCGTCGTGGTAAGATAGGGCTAAGCTCAGATTGGGTGGGATGGAGGATCTTGGGCCAGAAAGCAGAAGAATCGGCGTGCGGATCGTGGTCCAGGCAAATAAGTTCAACTGGATGGGAACGAAGAGGAGAAAGAGGCTAGTCGTCGCGAGGAGCACAACTGGCAGCCATCGAAGATGTCTTGTACTTCTGGCGGAATGGAGGTGAAGGTGACAAGAATCACCCAGAGCGCAGGTGGGCTTTGGTCAAAAGGAGGGAGAAGAACGTGTACGGGACTGGAAGGGTCTGGCCTGACGTGACTTGTGATGTTGAGGCAAAGGTACAGTAGGTAAGGTAGGTAGGTAGGTAATAAAAGGGCTATTTCGACTGAAGAGGTGCAAGGCGGAATGGCGGGGAAATGCGCTCAAACTTAGCTAGGGGGGTGCTGGGTATGGCTGGGAATCGGAGACGCGCCACACGACAGCCCGCAGTATGCGATTAAAGAATATTTGTCGTTCCGACAACCACAACGATAACCACAACGATAACCACAACGATAACCACAACGATAACCACAACGACCACGATAACTCCAACAACTACCTACCTATACGTGCCTCTCCCCACTAGAGCCCCGTTGTAAGAGCCGAGAATGACTTCACCATTTTTTCAAGTACCTGCCTCGTATTTAGAGGGTCTCCTGCAGGCACGGCTCGCTTTCTATGGGCTGGCTAAAATACGAAAATATATGAGCATGCGAAGTGCGGTACTAAGGACCTTAGTTAGTTAACCTGGACCACGCTTCAGATACGCGTGAGTAGCAAGCCAAGTCGGTTGGTCTTTCTAGTTGTAAGTAACTGGGCACCTAGGTAATTACGAAGCAATAAGCTGTTTTGCTCCTCATCAAGTGACTAAGGCAAGGTAGACTTCAGTATAAGCTTATATCATTCTACCGGTTTTAAACGCATCTGTGCGCTGCGGGAGGGAAGTCCATCAAGCTTTTGCCTTTGACACCCACCTCCATCTCGGCCGATACCAGATACGACCATATTGACAGGTACCAATGTACTACAAACCTTCCGAGCACCTAAACTTCAGCAGAATGGTCTAAGTACTGGTAAGGACAATATCAACTTCTAGCCGCATCGCAATTGCCTTGTTAAGGTAGCTAAGTGCCCTTGGTATTACGAAAAGTTCAGTTGTCAGCTATCAACATGACAGGTTCAATCAACGGCAGCCCCATTTCCAACAAGCGTCACCGAAAGTCCCGGACTTGTATCGAGCCCAGAAGATTCCATGGGTCTACCCACTTCCAGCGATATTCCCCTTCCATGCCTCCATATTTTCTCTCCCAGTACGGAACTGTTTGGACCCCATTGGAACAACCCAACCATGCCCGTAACGAGTAACCACGTAATTAGTGAACACGTACAACTTTCGAGGTATCAGTGGCTCTCTTCGATTTCCGCCCACCACTTGCTTCAAACAGGCCGGCAACTATGTTGGTCTCAGCAATACCTTCGTACAAGTAATTAATTCCCTCGGTTATGGCCGTGCTGAGGGCAACCCTTGAAGGTTCGAGGGCACTATCTATCAGATAGATACATCATTTCCAGGGACCTATGGACCTTGCGATGATAAGAAGGGTTAGGCGACTTTGCAACCATCACTTCTATACTATATGATCGGAATGGCCTACCAAAGTATGCATACCCTGAACTACAAGTTACATTGGATTTCTTTATCCCCAAAATGTGTCCTTTTTCCACTCTTGCCCACCCTATGGCTTCTTATATCCGCAAGCGACAAGACTGTCCTCCAGTGACGTAAGTGCATGGTCGATGTCTTGCCTCCGAGGATCCGTCTGTAATTTCGTCAGTCAGAGCGGGAACAAGCGTTGTCTCATTTGCATCCGAGAAACTTACCACACTGACGCCCATATGTCCGAAGCGGATGTACTTCGTCGCGATTTCCTTGTGGATACCTCCGGCAAAGACGACGCCCTTCTTACCCAGCACGGGCAGGATGTCTGTAACCTTGATACCTTCCGGCAGGTAGATGGCCGTCATGCCGTGAGCCTGGTCCTCGGGGTTTGCTGCGACCTGCTTCAGGCCGAGGCTGCTCACAGTCTGCTTGATCTTATCCGACACCTCGCGGTGGCGGCTGAACCGCTCAGACAACGGCCGGGCGAGAATCTGGTCAAGTGCAGTGTGAAGGGCGTGGACCAGCTGAGGCGAAGGCGTCGCGAAGTAGGACGGCTTCTTGGCCTCGTAATTCTGCATGACTAGATGTCACGCCCTGTTAGCAAAGTCGGTTCGGTTCTGTCGCCGCGGGTGGAAATGGAGGCCCAGCGGACCGCAAGGGACCGAAAAAAAAAAAGGGGGGGGGGGGGTTCCATACTGTGAGTCCAGTTCTTCATGGAGGCGAAGTACGAAGCCACGGGCGTCTTGCGGTTCTGGAAGGCCTGCATCGCTCGGCCGCTGAACATGGAAATAGACAGGCCGGCAGGGCAGCCGATGGCCTTCTGACTGGCCGTCACCACACCGTCAAGCTTCCACTCATCAAACGCGATCTCTTCGCAAGCGACGCTGCAGACGCCGTCCACCACGATAAGCGTCTCGGGAGAGACCCGGTGCACCAGGGCCGCCAGGTCCTTGAGCTCGCTGAGGACGCCGGTCGAGGTGTCGACGTGCGTCACGGTAATCATCTTGTATTTCTTCTCCGACAGGGCCTTCTCGATCTCGGGAAGCTGCGGGCGCGAACCGACGGGCGCCTTGAGCTGCGTGGGGTTCGCGCCGTAGGTTCGGAGGCAGTCGGCGAAGCCATCACTGAAGTAACCGGTGGACAGCACCAGGACATCCTCGCCCGGCTCGACTAGGTTGGCGGCAACTAGATCCCATCCGAGGGTGCCAGAGCCGGAAATGACGAACGGCTGAGAGGAGGGGTCGGTGGTCTGGAAGAGCTTCCGAAGCATGGATAGGGTCTCGCCGAACGTCGCAACGAAGGCCGGCCCAACATGGCTCTCGCTGGAGAAAATCAAATGAACCAAGCGTTAGCTCGAGCTTCCTGGCCAGTGAGATGCGACTGACTGGGTACATGCAAAGAACGGGGGGTGAAGCAGAAGCAATAAAATCGTCGCACCTGTAACGGCTCATGGACTGCAGGACATCATCGTCGAATTCAATGGGCCCCGGGATGAGCAAGGTCGGGTGTTCCGGTTGCTTGGACATGGTGGAAGATGGTCGAGACTGGTCAAACGCGCCCGTCAGTTTTGAGGCAAATGGAGGAGAAAAAGGCGAAAAGAAGCAAGTTGTCTTTGCTCCAGTTGGTGATTATTTTCTTACGCTGAGTGACTGAGAGATTCCAGGAGAGCGTAGATGGTTTGCCACGAGAGAGATCCGGGCGGGTGAAGAGGGGTTGTGGAGGGGCATCCGGTCGTGAGCCAATCTGCGAACCGGAAACCGCCGTAGAACCGAGTGCATGGAGACAACCGGCGATATGTGCCGATCGTGGCCGGCGGGCTATCTTAGTGTGTCTTAAGGTCGCGGCCGAAGAGTTCCGGAGGGTTGGCCAGTCGGCTGGTTGGTTGGTTAACTTGCTGGGTTGACGTTGTCTGGTGTCAGGAAAAGCTTATTTGGAGAAGAGAGCAATATAAGCGGGAGGATGCGCATAAAAGAAGAGTTTCTCAATAGCAAGATCTATTTCAGCAAGAAGATTGAGCAATGAGTCTAGAAGCAATAAACGACGTGTTCTCTGGGTTAATTAAGTAAGGCCTGGGCGCAAGACCGGACTTGTCTTATCGTCCACGCTAGGAGGAAACTCGGCATTTGAGCACTCACTAGTTAATTCCAACTGCTTCTTCACATTTGCCTAGGTAAAGGGTAAGTAAGAACACGGAGTACACGTGTAAAATAGCTTCAGAGTTCGTGCCTCATCTACGGAGTAATAATTACATACCTTATTTAGGTATCTTATGTGGGGGGAAATGACATTGAGGGGGACACGAAGAGAGAGAGAGAGGTGTTGGGGGAACCGTCAAGTCGGGAGGGACACTAGCCACAACACAACAGGTGGGAGTGGCTGACCGTTTACCTTTGCCTACTCTGTAGGCAGGTACTCGGTACCACCTAGCTCGTCATGTTACCTACCTACCTAAACCTTAGCACGCATGAGACCGAGCTCCCCTCGCCATCGAGAACCTATGTGCTGATATCCTGCTACTACCTCTAGTTCTGCATCGCTTCCCTCTGCCCCCAAGGTGACGACATTGCGCGATTACAAGGACGTCAACGCGAAAAGAACGAGATACCATCCAACAGGCCGGGAAGGGATAAGAAGGTGCCTTGATTGGCGACGATCCCGGGGGTTAGTCCACCGAGCGAGCTGTCGCCATTCGTAGCAAGCCCCGAACTCCAGCTCCCTAGTCTTCACGAGCTCGCCGTCTCACGTGCACCTTCGCCTCTCCCCTCTAGAAGGGCCACTGTCGAACTCTCAAGACCCCAGGATCCGAACGACGTACTAGGAATCAATTCAATTGCTATCTATCTCGCCGTCACCATGGCCTTCCTCATACTGGTCATCGGCGATCTCCACATCCCGGACCGCGCCCTAGACATTCCCGCCAAGGTCCGTCGTCCCGTGCCCTTCACTCCTCAGGCGGCTCCCCCTCCCCGTCGTGATGAACTGACCTCGCTCTTACCTCTTTCCGTCCAATATAGTTCAAGAAACTCCTAGCCCCGGGGAAGATCGGCCAGACCCTCTGCCTAGGCAACCTGACCGACCGGCACACGTACGAATATTTGCGCTCCGTCGCTCCAGATCTCAAGATCGTCAAGGGCCGCTACGACGTCGAAGCCGCCGGCCTCCCTTTGACCCAAGTGGTTACCCATGGCTCCCTCCGCATCGGCTTCTTGGAGGGGTTCTCTCTAGTTTCCAACGAGCCCGACCTGCTCCTCGCCGAGGCCAACAAGCTCGATGTCGATGTTCTTTGCTGGGGGGGCACCCACCGCTTCGATGCTTTCGAGTATATGGACAAGTTCTTCGTCAATCCAGGCAGTGCGACGGGGGCTTTTCATCCCAGCTGGGAAAAGGAGGGCGAGGAGCCAGTGCCGAGTTTCTGTCTTATGGATGTGAGTCTTGGTTGCGTTCTTCCCGTATATTCCTGTGGGCTAGGCAACCCGCTTGGATGCCCAGCGTGCTATATAGAGGGACAAACGATGGCCGGCTGACCTTCCATGTGTGACAATAGGTACAAGGCATATCGTTGACACTCTACGTTTACCAACTACGGAAAGACGACAAGGGAAACGAGAGCGTGGCTGTTGAAAAGGTTACCTATACCAAGCCCGTGGAGCCATCCGGTGGTTCATAATCACAGAACGCATATGAGATGGCTGGTGAATTGGTATGAGGCTCCAAGGTGTGGTTCCATCCTGGCATAGATATGGATGGCGACGGGAAGCGAAGTCAGTGAAGCAGTGCACGTTAATGAACGCGAGTATGTCCAACAACTCCATACAATCGCAGGAGCGAGCGGGTTCTCGTCTAGCCTATATCCTAGTTCCCGCTGTCATTCAGAAGTCATCCAAGGGAAGACTCGAGCGCGAAGTCCACCGAAAAACTCTTACATGCAAGTAAACAGAAAAAGAGTGCGAAGCATGTAACGAGGCTCCGTGGTATCTTGGTAACAAGGGCTTTATACGCCTCCCCAATCTGCCAAACGCCCCGGGAAAAGAGGGAAAGAGACACGGCCGGTAGCAAGGTACGGTCGGATGTCGGACCGCCTCTCGGAAGCAACCAAAAGAAAAAACCCCCCACAACTTAGAGTCGCATCATTATAAAGGTGTTCATGAGGGTCCTTCCGAATATCATAGCATCATGCTTCTCCTTCGTGACGATGATCTCGACTCAACGTCCTTCACCTCCCATAGCCCCAGGTCTTCAGGGTCATCATCTGCGCCGATTCTGGCCGTTGAACGAGAACGTGCCAACGACGTCCTCTTTCTGGCTGCTGCCGCTGGATTCAGCCCATCTACGTGAGTCGCATTGTTCACATCGAAGTCCTCGCTGTTCAGGGACGAGAGCCTGCGCGAGGACTTGGACTTGCGCCTCGGTGGGGGGCGTCCCTTATCCTTCCCTATGGTTACGTCGAACTTATCGCTGGCCGGCGTAGAACTGGGGAACTCGTAGGGATCGATGGCCGGATCTGATGGTGATGAAGCTTCATCGTTCGATGGCGCCTCAGGCGAGTTCTGTGGTTTTGGCGACTCGCCAGAACCTTCGTCTTTGCTGTCTACCGCACTCTTCGAAACAGACGACGACTGTTGGTGTCTGGGTTCCGTGACATGTGCACTCGTACTCGCGGCCCGATCCAACTTTGCCCTTTTTTCTGCCAAAGGGCTGGCTACCCCAGCGCTCGCGAGAGCCTCAGAGGTACTGGGAATCAATTGGGGAGCCCCCTTGGACGCGTCTTTCCCTTCCGATGCCGTTGAGCTGGGCTTCTTGGTCGTAGGCCCCGCCGATGGCGGCTCTTCGGAATTCGGGAGAGAGGGGCGCGGCTTCCATCGGGTTTCCCCGGCCACGGCATCAAAGAGCTCCTTTGTGGGACGGCGCATCTTGTCTCGCAAGTTGGGCTCCGCGTAGCTAACCGCTGCCCTGGCTCGCCGACTTGGTCTCGACGTTTCGCCCATAGAGGAAATATCGCCTGGAGGCGGCGTGTCCCGGGTTTGCTGTATCGTAGGTATCGGCTCAGGGGAGCTTGGGAAAGGTGGCGCAGGCTCGGTTTCCGGAACTTCAGGGTGCCCGACTTCGGAGCTTGGAAGGACGTCAACGACCGGTTCTGGTGGAGGAGGCGGTGCAACAGGCACTGTAACTGTCGGTTCTTGAGATTCCTTTGCTTTGGCCTTGCGTCGTTCTCTTCGAGCTTCGTCCCCGGTCTTGCCAGATTTCAAGTTGCCTTCCCCAACAGGAGGCTTTGAGGCAGCCAGCTTTTTGGGCGAAGTGATGTCTTCGTTGGTGCTCTTGGCTGCTAGCGGAACTCGGACAGCAATGGGGGCCGTCGGACGATCAGTAGAGGTCTGATTTTGTGCGCTTGTTGCCTCACGCGAGGCCTTGGTGGTCGTTCGTTCAATCCGTAGTGTTGGTCGCCCGGTGGAGGTCTTCGACTTGGGTCTGTCTGTGGAAGAAAGGATAGTCTTCGTCTTCGAGTCGTCACTCGCACCAAATTTCCGCTTCGAGCTGGTTCTAGGAGCTGGTTCAGAAACAGCTTCATCTTCGCCTTTCGTGCTGGACGCCGCGATATCATCGTTTTGTGACGGTGGCTCCTCGTGTGTTGCTTTGCCAACTCTGGGTCTGACTTGTAATTCTGTAAACGGAGAGGCGCGTGGAGATGACGGAGACTCGGACTGTTCGTCGGCTGCTGGTTGCGGTTGAGCTGGAGGAGACTTGGTGGGAGACTGCAGTTTCGACTCTTGTCTCTCGGCGTCAACGAATCGCGATGTCGGTGGCGGGCCGAGTTCGGGAGAGTCGGTAGTGTCGGTAGTGTCGGCAGCTTCTGAACACAAGGCTAGGATTTCTTCGCGGCTGATAGAGGGTTAGCCTAAAAACATTGGTAGTCAGAGGTCCAGAAAAAAACCTACTCCATGGTACGCCTTGGATATGACTTGTTTTCCTGGATAGGCGGCAATCGACCCTCCTGCAAGGCGCGAAGCTCGGCGTCCCTAGCCGACTCGCGCGGTCGTTTCTGGGGTGGGCTGCGGCGAAAGAGAACGGTGTGAGATTTGGAAGTTCTGCGACTTTTTGGGCTTGCGTGTCGTTTCCTGGGCGGTTCGTTGCCGAGTTCACCGAGGACACTGATACAGTCGAGAAGTTGGGCCTCCAGTTTTGCGCGAATGTCGAGGGCATGGTCGGCAACTCTCCGAGCTTCGTTGTCTTCGACTTCCTTCTCCAGCTCTATAATGCGTCCGCTGAGTTCGAGCTTTTCGGATAGCAGCTGGGCGTTTTGTGCCTCCAAGGCTCGTATTCTGGTGAGGTGAGCGGAGTTTGCTTTGGCGAGGTCCCTATTTTGCCGCAGGAGTTTTCTCCGGACTGTGATGCCTCAAGTCAGCAAAAGGATGAGGTCAAAGAAATAGATAGTTAGAACTGAATGACCGCGGCTTCACTCACGAATTTCGGGACTATCTGTCGAGATGGGCGGATCGTTTAGTCGCGCCATGTTGCATAGTGTCGGGGGTTAACGCAGAGAGTGAAAAGCGAAAGCGAGACTGAATTCAGTGTCTCGCAGCACAAATGCTCGATTTCGTTAGAAGCAAGTTGTTGCTAGCGATGCCAAAAAAAGAAGTATCAACAGTCGAGCCAGAGGAGGTTGGCTGTCAGAAGCGGTGTGCTTGTCCGACCGGCTGTGGAGTGCGGAAAATGCTGGGCTCCAACGGTCATTTGTTTACTTCCTTTCCAAATGGGGCATAGCTTTGGTGTACTTAATGGGTTTCGTCAGTTGCTGGGGCGCCGGGGCCAACCACGTGGGTCCAGCTCAGGGTGCACTAAACCGCAATGAGCTGTCCCAGCCACCGGCGTCATTTACAATGACCTTTAACGAGATTATCAAGACCGATTTAATTGAATCTTTTATGTGTGTGCCTTCATGCATCCGTGATTACTTCGTAGAGCACCGGTATCTGTACTCGTATCCATACGCATACGCAGTTAGATCATCCGTACAGGTACTCCGCTTACTGGATTGATGCTCGTTGGTAGAAACACATGAGAGATTGTCTTGCGGACTGCAGATGCAGATAGGTATAGAAGTGCTTCGTAGATAACCTCCAGTTCAATGTTTTGTATCAGTATTCTATATTCCAAGTCGTCATTTTCATCTTTTGTCTGAGGGATCGACGCTGTGCAACGCGAACAAACACATCCTTTGGAGGCTTTCGAGGCTCAGATATCATCATAAATGACAAATGACTGAACATGAATGAGGTGGTCTGCTTTCGCCGGCAAAGGCACACTTATCAAGTAGGTACCCAGGTATCTTATCGCTGGTGCTCACCAATTACCTTAAGTACCGTACCTTAACTTAAGATTATATAATCCTCCTCGGATACTCCACTCTCCTCATTTGCTCCAGCAGAGCTTCCCCGCGCAATCTCTCAACCCCCAACGCAGTCACATGTCTTCAACCATGTCCTTCCCGACACGGTCACTTTCAACCCGCATACCGGGAGCGGGCTCTCGTGATGCCTCGGGAGGTTCGACAGGCCCGTCGCCAGCGCTGGTTGCCCGGATCGAAGAGAAAAAGGCAGAGCTCGAAAGCCTCAAGCAACTGAGGGACCTAAGTGCGGCTGTCGCGACACAGATGGAAGCGTTGGAGAAGCAACTCTCGACCCTATCCGACGGCACAGAAGGTACGCATAGCTCTCGGCTAGTCTGGCTAGTTCTATCTGCCTACCTAAGGTAGACTCTCATAACATTTACCGGCTCGGGTCATCGAAGCGGGCGGGTTCTGAGGGCGAAACGGAGGTAGGAGCGAACTAACAACTGGGATACGAACAGCAATCGCGACGGTCATCGGCAATTGGCATAACGTGCTACGAGCAATCAACATGGCTTCCGGTATGTCCACACCATCCTCCACCGTTTCCTTCGTACACGTCTCTTTCCAAACGAGCACGCGAGTAGCTTGAAGCAAAGGCGGGCGGGGGCGGGGAAGATCAGGACACTGACTCGGTCGATTGTCGATGATAGCGAGCCTACCCAAACCGAAAAACACCGAGACTGAGCAAGGTACGACGGAAGAGACAACAAAAACCACGCCTCTTCCCCAGACCTTGGTGCGCATTCCGACCGAGCATGTGGCAACTCTGCAGGCGCACACGGAACAGGCAGAGGAAACGGAACAGGACAGCAACTCATGAATACTTTGGGGGCTCTGGCTTGACGGTAATATTTTGCTGTCCATACACAGGGTATGGCTCTCTGCGTAATACCTTCGCCTCAAAGGCTTCCCAGCCGAATCCGGTCGCCCCCTCCGCGGGATGGCTACAGTCTTTGGGCCGGCCGGACTATATCCTGCCAAGGCGTGCTCATTTATTCAAAGCGAGCGGCATGACGCCCCCGTGAAGAACGGCTAGAGGCTTCCACCAACTCTCAGTCGTTGAAGTGGAAGGCCACTGCCTTCTGCTGCAAGGATGCGAATGGAACCTTTCTAAGCCGGGGCTAGAGGGCAACTAAAAAAGGAGACTACGCGGCGGGCTTGCGCAAGGGGGGAGGGAATTTGGAAAATGGGACAGTTCGTCCGGGCAGGCACTTCGTATGCTGCAAAATGGCAGTTGTTGCATTGCGAGTTCCCGTTGCTGACGAGCAAGGACAAGAGAGGGGACGAGTGGGGGACAGTGCGATTGTGCTTTTCCACACCTCGTTGTGGGACGGAACTGTGCAGCCAACCAATCTCGTATGCAGCTACAGTACCTTACGTGTACCTATCTGCGAAGTACACCGTATTAATTACGTGTTGAATGGTACGGCCGAATGTGGGGACGACGCGTCTTGTGTCGCGTCGCGGGAAGGAGACGGGCAGATACCTACGTTCGTACCTGAAGCGAAGGCAAGAGCCTGTTGGGCTCAGTTCCCCTAACAAAACCGCCAACGAAGTCTATGGGCAAGTTCCTACCCTGATACCTGCCAGAACAAAGTTCTCCGAAGGATGCAATTTCCCTGGAGTGTCGGAGCTACTGCATACGGTATCTGTTGGGGTGCCCAACAGCAACCATTTATACATCTCCGCGGTTTCCGCTTCCTGTCAAGATGTGAGGCTCCATGGTCTCCCTCCTGGGAAACAGGAAAGCATGTAGACGTTGTCCCGCCCCGTCTCGTCGCTATGTCAGGTAGGTAGGCAAGGCCTTGGTCGAGTTCACCCGTAACACGACGTCGTCTCTGCGCTCTTCCCCTGTGCTTCGTGCTACTCTATCATCACCATGACCATATGGACCACCATCGCCATCATCTGTTGTACGACGAGGTATCGGTAATTAGTTCCTACACTACCTTACGAACACAATACGGGCATCTCATTACAGTGACAATAAAGAGCACTATTTGTGCAAAATAACACATTATCAGTTTCCCCTCCAGTTTCCGATCCTCGTAACGGTCGAGGGCCCGAGATTACTACAAGGAAATTAGGGTCCGGGTTGCTCGTTAATTACCCCTCCCCTGGCTTGTCGCCTACAACGTACGGTGGGATTGGAATCGGGGAAAAGCCCCGGTCTTTACCCGCGAAATTACACCATGGTCTCGGCACCACCATCCCATGCGGACCCTGTCGACCTTCTCACTCTCAAACTCCAGTCGCTCAACGTCAGAAGCCTGGAGAAGGAGAGTGAGAGGGAGAGGGAGAAGGAGAGGGAACGACCGCCCACCCGCAGACGTCACGCCTGGTCTTCCATAGACACAGACTCTAGTTTCGAGCCTCTCGAAGTTATCGAGGAGACTCACGAACCCGGGGATTCGTATCAGTCTAGTCAAGAGAACTGCAACTCTCCTGTGGACCAGGCCTCGGCCTTTGACGAGCAAGGTCCGCAGACCTCCCCATACCTTACCTCGCACATATTTCCTCTTTCCTCTCTCCTAGCCCCCCC